AAACAGAGAGTGAAGGTTCTATCTCTGATCGGAGATTTCTGGTTTGCGATTTGGGTCGGTTCAGTTTCTGGGTTTTCTCTCGATCCCGAATTGGCTTGTCTCTTCGATCTCTGGTAAATTCTACTTCCGAAGCTCGAATCGGTGAGTTTTTCTGACTTCCATGGTTTAGAGGTCTTAAAGTATGTCTGATTGATCTTCGTGATTTAGGGTATAATGTGATTTTTGAACTTGTTATCGAAAATAATTACTTTAGATGCGTTTGGATCTGATACTAAGTTCGAGATTTGAAGCAAACACCAATTTTTTTAAGCTTCGAGTATGTTTTTCAGTCCTGATTTTGAGAGAATCCATGCCTAATTCCTTTGTTTTAGACAGATTGTGAGATGGTTCAAAGGAGGGAACAATAGGTTTTTGCAAGAGAATGTTTTGGAGTAAACATTGCAGAGAAGAAAGGCAACGTATGGGAATTGGGGTTACTAATTTTGCTTTTTCATTGACAAGATATGGAAAGTGAGTGTACAACAATTATCTCAACCCCTCCTGAGGGGATTATTGAAGGGAATCAGAAATCGCGTCACGGGTATGATTCTTTTTTTCTTCATATCTTACTATTGATAAATCGTTTAAGGTTGCATAATAGACTAGGGTTAAGGTCAAGAAAGTGTTTTTATGTCCTCTACGAGATTGACATGTTTGGCACATCTAGGATTGAGGGTTGCATGACAATTTTTGTGTGGATTTTACAGAAGGACTAGTGGCCCTGCAAGACGTTCAACTCGAGGTCAATGGACAGCAGAAGAGGTGAAATTTATGTTTCCATCAGCTTTTGTTTACAACTTTTTTCAAGTGGTGTTCAATCCAATCGGTTAATCTGGTTTCATGTGTTTATTTTCATGATATTATTGGCCATGCCACATATAATGAGTTCTTTTTCACGCTTAAGTGCATCTGCTTATATCATAGATGTATGGCACTAAATTAGAAATACACAAGAAGTGGACATTTGGATATATGCATATTTGATCATTTGTTGACCAAACGTATTTTCAGGATGAGGTTTTGAGAAAAGCTGTCCATAATTTTAAAGGGAAAAACTGGAAGAAGATAGGTAAATTTTCACAGTGTGACATACTTTGCTGATGTTCTTGTCTAATTGAATATCACATCTTTGTTTGATGAGATTTTCTTAACTTGCAGCTGAATATTTCAAGGACCGAACTGATGTCCAGTGCCTCCACAGGTGGCAGAAGGTCCTTAACCCGGAACTTGTTAAAGGGCCGTGGACAAAGGAGGTGACATAGCATGCTTGACCCTGTTTGGTTTATGATTTCTAAATATCTTCAATGACTGCTTATTGCTTTCTGTTTGACATGTGTGTAGGAAGATGAAATGATCATTCAGTTAATCCAAAAATATGGGCCGACGAAGTGGTCAACTATTGCCCGATTTTTACCTGGCCGTATTGGAAAGCAATGTAGAGAGAGGTATGCTTATAGACAGTTATCTCTCTGGGAACTGCAGTGTTTTACTAGCACTTGAAAGTTTTCGTCCTCCTTTTAGATTTTTACTGTGAAGTGTATAAGCATTCACAAAGCTTGTAATTGATATATAGGTGGCACAATCACCTCAATCCTGCCATAAACAAGGAGGCTTGGACTCAAGAAGAAGAGCTGGTTCTGATTCGTGCTCATCAAATATACGGTAATAGATGGGCAGAGTTAACAAAGTTCTTGCCTGGAAGGTACGGATACTTATTGTCATTTGAAAATAATAGTTCAATTTTAAGGTATTCCTCTATTCGTTCTAGCAATATAGTTTTTTGCTGCTATGTTATCAACAGGTCGGATAATGGAATAAAAAATCACTGGCACAGTTCGGTTAAGAAGAAACTCGATTCCTACATGGCGTCTGGCCTTTTGGATCAGTACCAAGCCATGCCTCTAGCTCCTTATGAGAGAAGCTCCACGTTACAGTCTGCTTTTATGCAGGGAACTATTGATGAAAACGACTGCCTAAGTGCACAGGTAGAGAAAGAAATAGAAAACCGTCAGAATGCAAGCATGGTTGGCTGCTCACTATCTGCAAGAGATTATCCAAATGGAGTAATAAACATGGGGCAACATTTTTACCCCTGTGAAAACTCTAACGAGAATGAGCAAGCTGTGTATCATCCAGATCAATACTTCTATCCGGAATTGGAAGATATCTCAGTCTCTATCTCAGAAGTCTCTTATGACATGGAGGACTGTTCACAGTTTCCTGATCATAATGTCTCGGCTTCTTCGAGCCAGGATTACCATTTTGATTTTCAGGATCTATCGGATATTTCACTGGAGATGAGACACAATATGTCAAAGGTACAGATGCCTTACACGAAGGAGAGCAAGGAATCTACTATTGGAGCTCCAAACTCCACAGGAAATACTGATGTGGCTACTTGCATCAACCCAGCAAACGTCTTGACATCTGAAACAGAATGTTGCAGGATCCTTTTCCCTGATCAAGAGAGTGAAGGGCTCAGTGTTTCTACATCCTTGACCCAAGAGCCAAACAAGGTTGACCAGGCAGACCCTCGAGATCCTATGTTCTGTGCATCAGCTTCAGACAGACAGATATCAGAAGCTACAAAATCTCCTATACAGAGCTCTTCTTGGAGCTTCATTGCAACGGCCGCCTCAGGTAAAGAAACTCTTCGCCCAGCTCCCTTAATCATATCACCCGATAAGTACGCCAAGAAGTCATCTGGATTGATATGTCATCCTTTTGAGGCAACACCAAAGTGCACAACAAATGCAAATGGTAACTTCATATGCATTGATGATCCATCAAGCTCCACTTGTGTTGATGAAGGAGCTAATAACTCAAGCGAAGAAGATCAATCATATCATGTAAATGACTCCAAGAAGTTGGTTGCTGTGAATGATTTTGCTTCTCTGGCAGAAGTTAAGCCACAGTCTCTTCCTAAGCATGAGCCAAACATGACTAACGAGCAGCATCATGAGGATATGGGAGCAGCGTCAAGTCTTTGTTTTCCAAGCTTGGACCTACCTGTTTTCAGCTATGATCTTCTGCAATCGAAAAACGATCCGCTGCATGATTATAGTCCTCTTGGCATACGAAAGCTACTGATGTCCAGCATGACGTGCATGAGTCCCCTTCGACTGTGGGAATCTCCCACTGGAAAAAAGACATTAGTTGGTACAAAGTCAATCCTAAGAAAACGGACCCGTGATCTGCTGACACCGTTATCCGAGAAAAGATGTGATAAAAAGCTTGAAACTGACATAGCAGCAAGTCTGGCGAAAGATTTTTCCCGTCTAGATGTGATGTTTGATGAGAGTGAGAATCAAGAATCTATCTTTGGGAATAGAACTGGTGGCATTATTGGAGAAAGTGAAAGCCACTATCAAATTTTGAATGGAGAAGGTAAAGAGACCATGCATATCAGAAAACCACTTGAAAAAGCAAAGCAAACTTGCAAGGAGGCAAATCTCAGAGAAAAAGATGCTTCTGAACCATGTGTTGAAAATGTAAGTCTCTTGTCTCCTTTCCTTTTTGCATTTGAATATCTGTTGAGTTATGTATTCTGTTACAATCTTGATATGGTGCAGATTTAAGTGGAAAAATATGTGAAACTTGGTAGATATAGATTTCATGTCATGGTCATCTTAGCAACAACAGTACATAACGAAATTGGGCGACTTTCTTAAATTAACTTACATGTCACAGGAATCATCGTTTTTCTATGCTTTTACCTTCATGTTATGAACAGTGGACTGTTAAAATCTTATGCAGGCTGAAAATCTCTGTGGTGTTCTTTCTGAGAACAATACCAACAAGCCAGTTCTGTCTTCTCCTGGTCAATCAGTAACCAAAGCAGAGAAGGCACAACTTTCAACCCCAAGAAATCATTTGCAGAGAACTTTCATGGCTACATCTAACAAAGAACAACATTCTTCTGAAAGTCTTTGTTTAGTCATCAATTCGCCTTCCCGAGCGAGAAACACTGAGGGTCATCTTGTTGATAACGAGACAAGCAATGAGAATTTCAGCATGTACATCTATCCCACCACCTCTACTAAATCCTTCGATTTTCTACTATACTTGCTTTCAGTTCTTGCTACAATGATTTTGCTACTACTCTATTTACAGATTCTGTGGAACTCCATTCAGGAGAGGTCTTGAATCTCCCTCAGCCTGGAAATCTCCGTTTTACGTAAACTCTCTCTTGCCCAGCCCAAGGTTTGACACAGAGATAACTATCGAGGTATCTCATAATGCCTTAAGATCCGTCCATTATATATTCAACATCTTACATTCATGAGTACATGCAATGTCAAATTCATATATTGTGCTTATTTTTCAGGACATGGGCTACATTTTCAGCCCTGGGGAGAGAAGCTACGAGAGCGTAGGAGTGATGACACAGATGAATGAGCATACAAGTGCATTTGCAGCATTCACAGATGCAATGGAAGTTTCACTTTCACCAAGTAATGATAATACGATGCAGAAGAAGGAATTGGATAAAGAGAATAATGATCCTCTACTGGTATAATATATACTCTATGATTTATTAGCTTTGTAAGTAAAAATGTTATTTTCCTTTGTCGGTTTCGGGTTTTGAACATTCTCATATCTACAGGCGGAGCGTCGAGTGCTGGACTTCAACGATTGCGAGTCTCCCACCAAAGAAATAGAACGAGTCTCATCCTCCTACAACCTCTTGAAGGGATGAAGGTAAAAATGCAAAAACCTCAATACATAAATATTCAATGCGCATACATGAACAATGTATAAATATGTATGTGCATCTTTTATGAACCGACTATGTCCTTGGCTGGATCAATTTTTTTTCTTTCGAATGGATCAACTTGAATGAATTTATGTAGATTCTGTGTTCAATATTACATATATACATATTTCATATTGCCTTCAAGAGTATGTACATACACGTCCGCAGACTCTATAGTCTATACAGTGCACATATGGAAAGTACTGTATATGGGTTTTACACCAACTTTATGTCTTACTCCGTTCAGCAATAGAACAGAGCTAGATTCCTTTGAGCCATCTTTTCGATTCTTCATGAATTGTATCAAGTTAAAAGAATTTATGTAGATTTCTGTGTATCAACCATTAAAGTCTCAAAATTTTATCTTTTATGGTTGGTAAGTGTCCGTAACATCGTTTTGAATCTGATTGGTAATCTAAAATGATAGAACAAGACTTAAAAAGCTTTCCCTTGTCAACAACACTGGAAAGCAGAGGATTGCGGAATTGAATATAACTACTAAGAAAGAAACTTTTTTTTTGTTGTTGTAACGAATACATAATAGAAGTCTCTTGCGTACTTTATTAATACTGGGATGAAATAATAGTAAGAATAACGACGTTTATCTTGTAACTACTGGAAATGCTCAAAAAACAAAAGTAAGAAGACTCTTTATTGGTACCAACCATTGAACCGTAGTGGTGTTGTTGTTGTGACTTATGAGGCTTCTCAGACGGCTTTGGTGACAACAGCGTGGATCGCGTCTGCAAGGTGCGGTACAGTCTTCGAACTCAGACCAGCCATGCTTATCCTCCTTTTTCATTCATTTATACCAATAATCAGTCCCAGTTAAGACAATTTCAAAGGTGTAGCAAGATAAAACCATAACCGAATAGAACAGATCCCATGTATGAATGAATTACCCGTCTGATGTCATGTAGATGTGGTACTCTTTAGTCATGAAGGAGACTTGAGCTGGGTTTAACCCTGTGAATGTAAACATACCGATCTGCTTTATGATGTGAGTCCAGTCTCCGGGCGTGCCTGTCATGTGATTTGCGTGTTATTATTAGCTATGTCTGATTTACAGTGTGTTTTACTGTTTCCATCAATACGATCTTACCTCGAGCACGTAATGCCTCGAAAAGCTGTTTTCTCATGCTGATGATACGATCAGCCATGGCCTTCAGTTCCAGAGTCCATTCGTGGAACAAGTTTTTGTCACGGAGGATTACAGCCACGATAGATGCACCGTGAATTGGAGGACTTGAGTACATTGGCCTTATCACAAGTTTAAGCTGGCTTTCAACTTTGCCCGCTACGTCTGCTGATTTGCATACCTACACAAGCCCTTCATGTCAGAATTCGAAAAAGACCGTATCTCACAGCAAGAACTTCCTAAGAGTTTCTTAATTTAGATTAAATCTTACAATGCTGAGAGCTCCAACTCGTTCTCCATAGAGACCCATGTTCTTCGCATAACTTTGAGCAACCAGGCATTCTCCGCCGTCAGCAACAAACATCCTAATCGGTTTCGCATCTGTATCCAGACTTCCACTCGCAAAGCCCTGCAATGCGAAA